TTAATCCATTCGTGGGTCGATGGGCACTTGGGCTGTTGCCATGTCTTGGCTATTATGAATTGGGCTGCAATAAACATTCTGGTGCAAATGTCTTTGTTGTAAAATGATTTTTGATCATGGGTATATACTTAGTAGAGGAATTGCAGGATCGAACGGTATGTCTACTTTTAGTTCCTTGAGTGTTCTCCAAACTTTTTTCCAAAAAGGTCGTATTAGTTTGCATTCCCACCAGCAGTGTAGAAGTGTTCCCTTCTTTCCGTATCCACGTCAACATCTGTAGTTTTGGGATTTTGTGATGTGGGCTAATCTTACTGGAGTTAGATGATATCTCAAAGTGGTTTTGATTTGCATTTCTCTGATCATTAAGGATGGTGAGCATTTTTTCATGTGTTTGTAGGCCATGCACCTGTCTTCATCAGAGAAGCTTCTGTTCAAGTTTCTTGCCCACATAGAAATGGGGTTATTTATTTTTTTCTTATTCATTAGTTTGAGTTCTCTGTAGATTCTAGTTATCAGACCTTTGTTGGAAGCATAACCTGCAAAAGTCTTCTCCCATTTTGAAGGTTGTCTGTTTGCTTTACTGACTGTGCTCTTGGCTGTGCAAAAGCTTTTTAGTTTCGTCAGATCCCAGTAATGAATTTTTGGTGTTGCTTCAATTGCCTAGAGGGTCCTCCTCATAAAGTTTTCTCCCAGGCCAATTTCTTCAAGTGTTTCCCTGCACTCTCTTCTAGTATTTTTATAGTTTCATGTCTTAAGTTTAATTCTTTTATCCAGTGAGAATGAATTTTTGTTAATGGTGAAAGGTGGGGGTCCATTTTCAGTCTTCTACAGGTCACCAGCTAGTTCACGCAGCACCATTTGTTAAATAGGGAGTCTTTACCCTCCTGAATATTTTCGATAGGCTTGTCGAAGATCAAATGGCAATAAGTAGTTGGGTTCATCTCTTGGTTCTCTATTCTGTTCCATAAATCTACCACTCTGTTTTTGTGCCAGTACCATGCTGTTTTGATCATTATAGACTTATAGTATAGCCTGAAGTCTGGTAATGTGGTACCTCCTGATTTGTTCTTATTTCTTAGTAATGTATTTGCTATTC